ACACCGCCGAGACCCCCTCCATCAAGGACTCGCCCACTCACCCCGAGGCTCCACCTGGCGAATACCCTATCGCCTTCGCAAGCAAGAAGCTCCTTCCCGCAGAGATGAATTACCCCTCCAACGAGAAGGAACTCCTCGCTGTGATTCACGCCCTCACAGTCTGGCGCCCGTACCTCAACGGGCAATACTTCACCATCCGCACTGACAACACCATCGTCTCCTCGATCCTCTCCAAGCAAGATATCACTCCATGCCAAGCCCGTTGGCTAGACTTCCTCGCCCAGTTCACATTCACCATTTGCCATACCCCCGACAAAAGCAACCGCGTTGCCGATGCCCTCTCGCGACGACCCGACCACAAGCCCCCCGAGAAAGTCCATGCCACCATGACTCATATTCAACTCCTTCCATCGCTTCATCATCGATACACCCAAGGCTATCTCTCCTGCTCAGATTTCGCCACCATTTACAACAAGCTCCGCGATCTTGACTCAGTTCTCGACTACTCCCTTCACAACAATCTCCTCTACATCGATACCAAAGGCACTCGCCGACTTTSCATCCCCGACGCACGAGGCCTCCGTACTCAACTCTTGGCCGAGCACCACGACACCAAGACCGCAGGACATCTCAGTTTCCAGAAGACCTTCGACACCATCTCCCGCTACTTCTACTGGCCTTCCCTACTCGTCGACGTTAAGGCATACATTCGCTCGTGCCCCACATGTCAAGCTGTCAACCCCTCGAACCGGGCCAAACCCGGCAAGCTCCAATCATTGCCCATCCCAACTCACCGGTGGCAATCCATCTCCATGGACTTCGTGTGCGGCCTCCCCAAGCCCGACCGCGGGCATGATTGCATCTACGTCATTGTCTGCCGCTTGACCAAACGTGCCCACATCATCCCTTGCACGACCTCGCACAGTGCCAAAGACGTCGCCACACTCTTCTTCGACCATGTTGCTCGCCATCACGGCCTCCCCGAGAACATCATCAGTGACCGTGATCCTCGCTTCCTCTCACAATTTTGGAAACACCTCTTCACGGCCTACGGAACCGCGCTCAAGTACAGCACTGCATTCCACCCACAGACCGATGGGCAAACAGAGAAGATGAACGATACACTCCAAAGAATCCTGCGGAAGTATTGTCATCCACACCAACACGATTGAGATCAGTTGCTCACAGCCGCCAAAATTGCCTACAACAATGTTGTCTGCCCATCCATTGGCATGTCCCCTTTCTACCTCGACCTTGGCTACCATCCCCGCTTGCCCTCTAATTTCTTGCTTCCCTCGCAGCTCAGCCCCTCCACCCCCTACCCCTCTCTCAATGAATGGATAGCAACAATGAACAGACTCCTCGGAGAAGCAACCGAAGCCCTTGAAAGAACACAAGAACACAAGAACAACAAGCCAACAAGACTAACAAACACAGACGTGACGTGTCATTCAAAGTAGGGGACAAAGTCTGGCTTTCTGCCAAACGCTTTGAACCCGAACAAGGCTTGTCCAAGAAACTCTCGAACAAGTGGCTCGGTCCCTTCCCCATCATTGAACAAACCTCCCGCGTCAACTACAAACTCCAACTCCCCCCTGACATGAGTCGTGTCCACCCAGTCTTCCATGTCGAGTACCTAAAAGAATACCATGAATCCCCGCTCCAGTTCGCCGACCGCCCATA